CTTTGGCTGCCGGAAGTGTGGCCCATATACGCGCGGCAAGCGTTATCTAAGTATCTGGCTCTAAAATATGATTCTGCAGCCAGAGACTGGTGAAATGGCTTGAATTTTAATGCAATTAGAAACCGTTAGCAGGTCCATTCAGGCCGCCTCCCAGCTGAATTGTAATCGGATTCATTAATATTTATCCTAAAACTGATTCTATTTATGCAAATTGCAAACTTGTTTCTGATTCCGATTCCGATTCTAATAATCTGCTTCATTAAACACTTTCGCCAGCAAATCTCCAATCTTGAGAGCATTTGAATAATCTAACTCATTTATATGTATAAGAATTGCAGATTCTCCTCCTTATCTGAAACTCTTTTGGCTGAGTTTGGGTATAGAAATGCATTTCTTTCTTTTATGAGAATCGGTTTTTGAGAGTGTGCTCAAGAAGCAGCAGCAAAGGAAAACAGAAGCTAAGAAAAAAAATGGAGTAGGTAAAGATAAAGCTGAAGCTAAAGAACAAGCAGCTGTTATCTGCACCGATTTGCAGTGCGTAATTAAAAATGCAGGCCAAGCACGCGAAGCATTGCATACTTTGGGGCGTCGTTTAACTTTGCACTTAAGCAGCAGCAGCAGCAGCCGAAGAAGAGGGGGACCAGGAGGAAGAAGCTCAGCTCAAGCTGAAAACGTAAATATCATTTGCATTTTTAAGTGTGTTTGGAATTGGGCTGCTGTTAGCTGTTCGCAGTTCGCAGTTCGCAGTTCGCACTGTTCGCTGTTAGCTGACTTTAGTCTGTATCGTCTTTAAGGCTGTTGGGGAGAATGCCAAGTTGGGGCCATAAACTGGCCCCTGGGCTGTATGGACCGCAGCAAATCAACGCTAGCACCGCAGTGGACGCCTCTTAAGGCCATAAAATCAGCTAAAAGCAGCCACAAAACAGCAGCAGCAGCCAAAGAAACCGCAGCCAGTACGAGCAACCGACGTCTTCAAGTGGGCACGGAATTTATTTCAATAAAATGTGCATTAGCAGACCAGCAAGCAGCTACAAATAACTTAAGGCTTTTAGTGCGCTCCAAAGTGTGCAACGGCCAAATGCAAAACAAAACGAAGCAGACCGAGAGACTGAAACGAAATGGAAACGGAACACAGCAACCGAACAACAGCAACAACAAAAGTACAGTTGACTCGCTTAGTGGAGTCACATATTAATATGAAAAGTCGCATTGCCGTCGCCGTCGTCGTCGTCGTCGTCGTCGTCAACTTGCAGATTTGCTAATACCCCAAAGTATGAAACATTTTACCCATGAGTAACTCTATTTGAAATCCATTACTGCCAACGAGTCCGCAACAATAAAACTGAAAAGTTTCAAATTTATGTCAAAAAAAAAAAAAAAACAACAACAAAAATGGGAGAATATAAAGCTGTAGCAGCAGCCGCAGTAGTAGAAAAGCAGAACAAGAAGCAGAAGCAGAAGCAGAAGAACAAGAGTGCGCCTGCAACAACAAAACGGTGAAACACTGAAAAGAAGCCAACATTGAGCAAGTCAAAAGTAGGTTAGGGCATGAGCCAGAGAGTTGACGAGACGAGGCGCGGCCAGAGGGGAAGAGTGGAGTAGAGAGAGGGGCAACGGAGCGGAGTGGGGAGCAAAGTTGAACAATAGCAAAATGCGTGGCGGGCAATGGCAGAACAGACACACAGGGGACAGCCGCATGTGGGGGACTACATAAAAAAAAAACAAAAAAAATGATATGTGTATGTGTGCATGTGTGCGTGTGTGTGGTTGTGTGTGTGAGCGCCAACAGGCAACAGGAAAAAACATTCTAAACGTTTTTGATGGAAAACTTTGGGGAGCTTTTTGGCTCGCCAAACTCCTTGAAGCTACAGGCCACTCAAATTATGGAAAAATTTTGTGGCAGCCAACAACAAAAAATACAAAGAAGAAAAGACGCAAAAGAAATGAAGGCAGGAAGAGGAAAATATGCTGGCTGGCTGCCACTTGAAGTCAATAATTTGTGCCGCGTTTTTACAGCAATTCAATTAAAGCAACACATATACGCACACACACACACACATACATACACACACATGTGCAGCGAATGAGGAAGAGCAGACAAAAGATGCAATTGAGTTGGTGAAGGGTTGGCCAATAGTCCATTGCATGGCCGGAAGTGGTTGCAGCAACTTTTGCCGAGTGCCATTTGGCACACAAAAGATGGATGACGTCGACTGAGACAGACAACGAACAGAGAGGTAGAGTGAGAGAGAGGCAGAGCGAAAGAAGGAGAGATGCTGAGAGTGAGCGAGCAGGCACTCAAGTCTTTGGCTGCTGCGGCGTAGCTGGCAATGCCGCCAGTCGGAAACTGATCATCAATGGATTGCTTTAAAGCTGCACCTTGCGCCAGCAGTGCAGGCAGCTCGACCGAAACGTGAGCTTAATGGCTCAATAGCACTTAAATATGCGTATAATCGGACAAAGGACTTCAGCGCAAAATACATTAGCTTAGAGCTTAACTTGCTTATGGCTTAGCTTTTCGAAGAGCTTGGCTTCAGCTTGTAGCGAGAGAGACAGAGAGAGAGAGAGAGAGAGAGAGAGAGAGAGAGCGAGAGAGAGAGCGAGAGAGAGAGAGAGAGAAGCTAAAGTGTATCAAAAAGCATTTATTGTAAATATTTATCAAAAGTGAAGAGCTGATAAAATCAGGTAGGAAATGATAAAAGAAATATCATTAAAAAATTATATAATAAACATAGTTGAAAAAGTAAATATAATGAAAAAATATCAATAAAAAAAAAAAATAAATTAATTACTAAAAAAATGCATAAGTAATTAAATAAAGAATATTGTATTAGTAGCAAATAATTAAAATTTACAAAATTTTAAATTTAAAAATTATTTTTGAGAATAGAGAAAAATCATAAATTATAGATTTTTTAATAGTGGATCGTATTTTCCATGTATTACTAGATCAGCGTATTCCTGATCAACTTTGGAGTTTTCATTCAAATTCATATGGCTTTAACTCTTTAGCCTGCTTTGCTATGCTACAGATCCCAAAAGACAATTTGTAGTTGCCATTGCATCGTAAAAACAGGAATGAATGCAGTTCAAAATAATCCATTTTGAAAACCAGTTTCAAGATACGACATATCCTACTTCATCATCAAAATTCATCAACGACCACAAGACCCACAAAATGTTTCAACTTCATGAAGTAGTGCACAGAATTGTGAGAGATTCGTTTTGGGGCTTTTCTTCAAAGGAGGCTAATATGATGAAAGCTGCGACTTGTATAAGGAGCACAAAATATCAACTTAAAGTCGGGCTCCCCACTTCACGGGCGAAGCTCCACTTGCTTTATAGGCCACTGGCAAAGGCTCTTTGCATTGGCCTTACCATTTCAATGGCCTTTAACTAGTTAGGTAAGTACACCAGCCCCGAGGTAGCCTTGGGAACTGTGAAGTTCTTTGCAATGGCTTTTGGCTTGATTATTATGCGCATTATGTGTTTCAGAGGAGAAACCATTTTAAATGCCTTTTGTTGCCGTATTTGGCTCGGTTGACATGAATCTTGCTCACTTTACAACACGCTCAAAGCGCAACCAACCCCACCTACCAGCCAGCCACTCGTGCCACGCCCCTAAATGGCGTTCTCGTTGACATTTTATTTAACATGCATATTTTTATTTCATTTTGCCAGAGCGACTGTCAGCACTGTGCAAGAGATTTGAGACAGTCCGACGGGTAAACAGAGAGGGACAAACGGGAGGACGGAGTGGGAGGAGAATGGAGAGGAACAGATGGAACAGAAGCGACATTCAGCCAGCGATTTTTGCATTTGGCGGTCTTAAAAAGCTTATACAAATTACAAGAAAAGCGGGCGAACGGGCGAACGGGCGGACTGACGGGCTGACGAGCTGCTTGGCATTACATTTTTTTAAGGGGGCGTGTCAGCTTGGGAAAAGCAAGAAAACTTGGAAATTAGATTTTTTAATATTTTATGCAGTCATCACAGCAGTTTGTGGCCTTAAAACGCAGACATACACAATATAAAATTCATGCAAAAATTTATATATACATACATACATATATACGGATATATATTTGGCATAAATATGTATTATATACGTATGTATAACTGTGTGTGTGTGTGTGTGTGCGTGTATACAAATATTTCTTTGAGCATTTTCATTTGCATATTGGAGCATGTTTAAATGCTTTGCGCTTTTCTAATTTCATGTCAAGTTGACAATTCGGGCAGTCAAATGCATGAAATGGATATGTGACAGCAAAGGCTGAAGCAAGGCGAGGGGGCTCGACGACCGCCAGCCAGACACATGTACCATAAATATAAATGTCGTATGAGTGCGCCAGCCTAACTCATTGCAATCTATGCGAGCTCGAGCTGAAACTTAAGGCATAAATTCAAATAAAAACTGCAGACATTGTATTTATGAGCTAGAGAAGAACTTTAAATTTGAAGCAAAAGAGAGAGAGAGAGAGAAAGGGAGGGAAAGAGACAGAGAGAGAGAGGGAGAGAGATTGGTGTGGCTCAAGAAGTTCGTTTACGTTTTTCTATATATTGAGTCGTGTCAAATCCTACCTAGACATGTCGAATCGTGCTCTCAGTCGTGTCGTCGATGATTCGTGTTAAGTTCGTGTCAAGTCGTGTAGAAGTTACTGAGTACACATTGAGTCAGTTTCGATTCGTTGATATGCAAGCTGGTGTTAGGCGTGCAGAGTGTGCAGAGTCGTGGGTCGTGAGTCGTGAGCACGACTTAGTCAGTCGTGTAGATGCCGTCTCCTCTGATGCTCTTGAGAAGCTGCCTGCCTTTGTATTGTATGACAGCTCATCTTGAGCTGCTTGTAGTCGTGCCAAGTCGTGTTAGGTCATCGAGAGTCGTGTCTAGTCGTGCATAGTCTTGTATGAGTGAGTCAACTTGACTGGTATAAAAACCCCTGATGATGCTTGATCGTCTTCAGTCGTGATAGATCTCTTGTTTCGGATAGATCGTGTTGAGTCGTGTCCTCACATGTCAGTCATACTAATTATGCTGAGTGCAGTCTCGGAAGTTTCAGAGTGCGAGCGCACATCGGGCACCACAATTATCTGCTGATTGCCGGCCAGCTGGCGGAACCACTTGGACTTGACGCGCAGCCAGTAGTCGAAGTCCTTGCCCAGCAGGAACACGTCGGCTGATATTCTGGCCCAGGTGTCGCGCTCGTCGTTGTTCAGCTTCTGCCAGTCGTCGTCGTGCGGCGGTGGCTCGGTGACCACCTCCATCCGGAACTGATCCGCCTGCGGTATCTTCACGATGATATCCAGCACCAGCACGCCCTCAATCAGATAGATGCCGGCGGTCACCATGGAGATGATGCTCTGCAGTCGGCACTCCCTGAAGTAATTGTGGGAGTTCTCGCCCACGTCGCTCATGAACTGCAGGTGAAAGTCTTTCTCGGCGAATCTCATGGACACCAGGGCGCACAAGACGTGCATGCAGAAGCCCAGGGCGCTGATGAAGAGCAGCGGGCGCAGCAGCGTGCGCAATCCCATCATCAGGCGAGCGCAGGTAATCGCCTGCAGCAGCACGAAGCCCACGAAGGTGCCGCAGAAGAAAATGTTGTGGCTGATCGGCTCCTCCTGGAGCGTGCCCATGCGGTGTACGTAGGTGCAGGCGCTGCCCGCAAGAATCTCCAGCAGCTTGAAGAAGAGCCACACCTGATTCATGCTCACGACTCACAGCAAATGACTGGAAAATCTGAGCCTTGTGTGATGAGAGCAACCGGAAAGCAATTCAATTTGAGGGCGACACACTGGGCATGTGATTAGCAGGACATTGAGGGCTTCATGGGCGTGCTCAACTGTGCCATTTAATGCCTGGAAAACTCAATGTCAACTCGGGTAATTTTCTTTAATGGCTTTTCATTTTGTCGATAGTGACACTTTCAGTTGTTATCACTGGGCCGTAAAAAAAGGCCCAAAGACAATTACGGGCCTAGAGCTGGTGGGAGCGAAAGAGAGATAGAAAGAGAGAGAGAGAGAGAGAGAGGGCGCAAAGTGGGCGGAACTGAGAAAGAGGGAGGAGCTGGGTGGCGGGGCTGCGGGTTGGCCAGCATTGAGTGCTAAACAGGAAATGATTTTCTCTGCTCGACTCTAAGAAGTTGGCCAAATGGGCGCGCCCCTTGGTAATGAAATCATGAATTAGATTTGAGCTCGAAAATTGTTATTGTTTTCGGCCACATCTCTCACTCGCACCCCACTCTCTCTCTCTCTCTCTCTCGCTCACTCGCTCGCACTCACTCTCTGTGTGGCTTAATGACTTTTGTGGCTGGCTTGTATAGTACTTGGCCAGCATCTCGCTGTATCTCTGTGTGTGTGTGTGTGTGTGTGCTGTCTGGCTGTCCAGCTGTCTGGCATATTCCCCAAATGTCTATAAATCCCTTTTAAATGTTTTTAAGCTTTTGTTGGACATTTTCAGCAAAATAGCAGTAGCTGACTGCAGCAGCAGCAGTAGCAGCAGCAGCAGCTGTAATGTGCGCCTGGACTGTGCCACACACACACACACACAGACACACACCCAAGCACAACAACAAAACCAAAAGGGAACAATATTAACGTGTCAACGAGAATTTATGTTTACCGCAACTGGACAACTTTCAAAAGCAGCTCCATAGATCCAACATTCTCGCCTACTGCTGCTCCTGCTGCTGCTCCTCTTGCTGCTGCGGAAGTGGCAGCAAATGCTTTAGTGTCTCGCCAGTTAACATTTTTTGCCCCATTGTTGCTGCTGGCCAAGCGTGGCAGGAAAGAAAACTGCCCGCCTGCCTGCCCCGCCCGCCTGCCCGCCTGCCCGCCTGTCCCTTCTGCATTGGCACACATATGCAAATGATCCATAAATATCAACACTTTGCAGAGAGTGAGCGAGAGAGAGAGAGGGTGAGCGAGTGCGAGTGAGATGGCCTGTGGGATGCCTTTGAGAAAACTGCCAGCTAAAAGTGGCCAGCGATTTACACAGCATTTCTCGCACTATCTATCTCGCTCTATCTGACCCATGTGTGCACGCCCCTGCGCATGTGTGTGTGTGTGTGTGCGTATGGTAATTGTGCTGAAAACTTGAAGCATTTTGCGAACTGAAGCTGAGGCAAAGGCCTCAACAGTGGACGCCATAAATAAATTACATTTGTTGCTCATTAAACGTTGAGTGGCCAAATGGCCGCAATTTAAGTTGAGGCGCGGGAGACGAGCGCGTGCGGTCGGGCGGGACGAGCGGGTGAGCGGTTGAGCGGTTGAGCGAGACGTTTGGGCTGTTTACCCGCTAAAAGGGTTGCAAGTTTGTTAGCCCGCAGCAAAGTGTGTGGGTGTGTGTGTGTGGGTGTCGAGGTGTGGCTGTGTGGGTGTGCGAGTATGTGTGTGTTTGAACTGGCATTGATTTAAGGCTGAAATTCACTTAAGTCCTGTCATTCGCTCACATGTAATTAAGCTCGAGCATGAGTAATGCAACTGAATCATTGCTTAATAATTAAACTTCATTTGCTGCTGCTGCTGCTGCTGCTGTTGCTGCTCCAAGCGGACAACAATTGCCGCAATGCAAACTGAAAAGTAATTTTGTCCATACATACTATATATTTGTGTGCCTGTCAATATATCATTACAAATTATCCATAAAGTGAGCAGCTAATGATAATCTGTATCGTTGACAATGCAAATTCAAGTTGCTGAGAGTGAGTGGAAGGAGAGTTATGTATATGCTATAGATAGAACCCTAATCTCCTGAGTGATTCGAAAGTTGTTCGTCTGATCATCATCATTGTTGTTATTATGAATGAGCTCTTGGGCTGCTCTAACAATGATAATGATAATCTTTATAAAGATCGTGATATATATAATAATTATTAATGATAATCTTTATAAAAGAGGTGGCATGTTTGGAATATTTAGATCATTATATAATAATTATGTTATGCATTATCAGGGCCATAGCAATAATTGTTGAGATAATTGTGATCACCCTATTCTTAAACATTACTACAATGATGAACATCTTAATCATAATCATAATCACAATCATAATAATTATCATGATATCATATAGTTAATCATAATGATATAATGATATCATAATGATAACCCATCTTAGCTGAGATTAGCGTAATGCCTAGTCGACTAGTCGCAATTAAAATTATATTTATTATTTTGTAGATTGCTCACATATATCCACATATATTCCTATGAATCAGAAATAAAATCAAGAAATATTTGAAATATTTAAGACAACTAAAACTAACTTTGGCTTCTACAAAGTTTTGCATTGTGTTTTGTAGCACATGTTGAGCTGCGGACTGAGATGTCAATAACTGCGCTTATTCTTACAAATTTGAGTCCTTTATGGCTGAGTTTGAATTTTGGGCAACTTTTCGGACTGAGAAGACAAAGTTGGAGTTTCTTCCTCTTTCTTTGTATATTCGGGGCACAAACAAGTTTTTAATGCTTGCTGGCAAAGTTGAACTAATTACGAGTGAAGAAACTGCAAGCTACGCATCGCTGGGCTGCCGAAATCAACACCTGCAAACACACACACACACACACAGAGAGAGAGAGATAAATGATGGCAGGAGATCTGGGCAGACATACGCCCCGAAAGGTAAGAGATTGGCCAAAGAAAGTCTCGACCGAAATGCGGCTCATCAGGTGTTGGCATAAGCCGCTGATATAATGCCTTATTATCATTTAATTGAGCAGCCAGGACCTTCAAACAGTAAACTGCTAAACAGTTTACACAATTTCGTGCACAGCCCTCAACAAAAAGAGACAGAGAGAGCGAGAGAGTGTGGGAGAGTGGGAGAGAGAGGCGTAGAGTATTTCACGGCTTTATGACAGGCGGGCAATGATTATAAACCGGCATAAATTTAAATTGAGTGTCACTAACTTGGCCCAAAGCTGCGGCCCTGTGGGCGCAACTGTCTATGGCTGTGTGTGTGTGTGTGTGTGTGTGTGGCGCTGTGTGGGGTGGGCCACGCCCACTGCGTAAACAAGCCGCACAATGACCAGAAAATAACCGAAGCGGCAACAAGAGTTGCGACAAGATGTGGCAGCAGCAGCAGGAGCAGGAGCAGCAGGAGCAGGAGCAGGAGCAGCGCCACCAAAAAACGGAAGCCCAAAGCAAACACAATAACAGTAAGTGAAGCATTTTTCGGCAGGAGACGTTGACGGGGCGGGGTGGTGCCGTGGGCGGGTGTGTGGTGCGATAAAGAGAGACATGGCACACAGGCAGCTCCAGCGCCACCGCCAGCGCCAGCGCCAGCTGGATGAGGCAGGAGCCGTAGCTGGCTTGGGCAGGTCAAGCAGCGTATAAAATTCATAAAATATCCGCACTTAAAACGCTGCTGGCCAAAAAACTTAAAACTAAACCGACAAATGCCGACCCAGATATATACATATATTTTATTTAATTTTTTTTTTGTTTTTCTTTTATTTTTGTTTTTTTATTTATTTTCGTTTGTTTTTCTTTTTATTTTTGGGGCAGAGTCCGAACGAATTGTGCGCTTCTTGGCAGCTCTGCTTGTGCTTTTGTCAGCTGCACATGTGGGCAGTGGTCAGTGGGCGTGGCCACACCCACACACACACGCGCATGCAGTTCATTATATTGCATGTATATTTGATGTCGCTCTGAATGCCTCGCTCCCACGCATTTGCACAAAAATGTGACAAGAATGCAGCAATTATCAAGCGTTAATATTTATGAGCAAGTTGTTGTTGTTGTATGTTATTTAAATATTGTTGACATATTGCACTTGACAATAAAAATATCAATAACAAATTACAAAGCGACGCGCCACAGCAATCAAAACAGCAGCAAAATCAAACAATTGGCAAATAATTTGGTTCGTCCGATGGTCGAGTGACTACAGCACACACAAACCCACACACACACACACACACACCCACACACATACACTTGAGTGTCCATTGGGCACTGGGTATCAACAACCTGGCAAATAGCTGCAGCATTGGCCTGCCCCACTTGATGCTGGGCTTCTGGGGTAAGCTATCAAAATGCTGTCATTGTTTCAAATGCAAATCATTGAAAACAGGCCACTAAACACGGCTGACAACAGTGTGAAAGGGGGTGGGGCGTGGCAGTGGCGCTCACTGTGCTGCTTGTTTGATTTATGCCCATGTGCGTGTGCATTTAAGTGCAAATTGCAGCATTGTTGCAATTGTTTGTTGTTGTTGTTGTTGTTATTGTTGTTGTAGTGGAGTGTAGCTTGTGCCTCGTATATTTGTATATTGCATTTTGTAAACATTTAATATTCCAATTATGCGGCACAATTCAATTGACAATTTGCTCAATGCTAATGTCGCCACAAAGTGCCTGAACAACAGCAGCCGGAATTGTACATGTGTGCATGTGTATTCCTGTATGTGTGTGTGCTTCCGCTTGTTTGCCTGGCGATATAATAATTTGTAGCATACCTTTGGGTGCTGTTCGAAAATCACTTGACTGCGGGCTGCCCCGGCAACGATGAGCGACGCGCGTATGCAGCTGCTGCTGCAGCGGACATTCATCATATAACGGCATTTATGCGCGAAATTCACTTATACCACGTCCAGTTGCCGTTAAACATGCAAATTGAATTCGCTTAATTAAAATGCTTCCATGAAATCCACTAAAATCCACACAATTGCCTGCGCTGTGGACGGCATGTTAAAGCAAGAGCCCAACAGTT